TTTTTGTGTGTGTGTGTTTTTTTTGTGTCTCCCTTTTGTTGGAGCGGACTGCCCCAGTTAGAGCAGCATAAGTCAAACTATTGGATGTACTCTCAAACCATTGCATTCAAGCATTTTCATATATTATTATTAAAAAATATTGTATTTTGACATTTTACACAAGTCGTGTATTCAGTCTTTGTCTGTCTGTTTGTTTGTTTTTGGATGCAAGGAATATGCTTGCTGTTGATTGCATTTAGTGGGTGGTTGGCGGGCGCTCTGTTGTGGTTTGCTCCTTCTTTCCTATCAAACATCTATCATCCTTATCTCTCCTCCTTCTTTTTTGTGTTTGTCACACTCTTGTAACACCTCTAATCTTTTGGCATTTATATAATATGGTAGCTTTTAAGGACAAGCGGGCTAAACCAGATTTCGGGGGTTTCCAGAAATCTTGACCTGTACCAAAAGTGGACATTGCCCTACCTATAGGAGAAGTTTGGTTTCATTGGTGTGTATATTTGTTTGGTTATAGAGAAAACTCTCCTTGTCTTTAAAAGAAACTGAACAAGGGTCAAACACTTTACTTTCTCAAAACAGCGTTTTTGTGACAGTCCCCTTGTGCTTAAAAGTGACCATATGACCTTATTGTGTTGCAAATGCCGTAAAACTCTTACTAAAACGTGTTTTTGGATGCGATGAGCGCATGGCCAGATGTGTGGCTGTTGTGAAGTGCACGGCACTGGTGTTTTTCCTCAGTTGCTGGCCAGGCTCATATGCAAATGAGCTCGTTCTCTGACTTCCTTTGCCTGACTACGTTTTTCGTCAGTCGTACAGGTGACTAAGAAAGCCTCGATTCGACTCAGTTTGGAAGGAAATTTGCATCTTTTAATACATTTTTTGCTTCTTCATTGCACTTTATTTATGAATAAATTTGTATCTCACTATATTATGTTGTACTATAGTAGCAGTAGATTTGTGCTGAAAAACAGCCCTTCCAAAAATGGAATAAAAGCATTTGACCTAGATTATTTCGTTCACGAGAGTCGAGAGAGCTAAAAATAGGTTAGTTTTAGTTTTAGTAGAGGTTTTACGGCGCTCGGAACTGCATAAGGTCATATAAGCGCCAGGAAAAATAGGTTAGACATAGATCTTGCCTTCACATCAAAGATCGTGTAGTAGAGAATCTTTGTTGGCATGAGCTAAAATGTATGCTAGGGATAGACAACAGACTTATGGTAAAAATACATACAAGCACAAATCAGCACATACACACACACACACACACACACACACACACACACACACACACACACACACGCACACTCACACAGGCACACACACACACAGGCACACACA